TATATATATATATATATAATGAATATTTAACAGGTCAGATCTCCATGAATATCCATTTGGAAGGTCATCTTAGTCTTCAGTGCTTATGAAATTTGGGCATCTTAAGTTAACAATTGCTTTGAGATGGTTATTTGAACACTTAGCTAATATTTATATAGTTGGCGACTAAGAGTTTTGTTTGGTTCTTAAGCCGATTTTATTTGTTTACAAGCAATTAGATATTTTGTTATGTCCTTTAATGTAATTAGAGGGGACAAATTTGAAGGACTAAGCCAACAATATAGGTCAACTATGGCATAAATTTTTCACAAATTACTCCATCTAGATAATGTTGGCCATGTGAGTACATAATCTTACAGTTGTTCATAAATTTTTAACAATTTTAAAAAATTTAAATATGTCATTAAAAGATCCGTAATGCTTAATAAAACAGAAGACATCTCATCCAATCATTGTCTTGCTACAAGCGCTTAATGATTTTTTTTTTTTTTGCCTTAATGTATTAACAATTCTAGAGATAATTATCAAAGTAACTATAATTCATTTGATGTCAAATAAAAATATATAATTTAGATTTTTTTCATTAATTTCTTACAATCTGTTTATTTTAGATTGTTATTATTTTTATATAAATCAATTCTATCATCATATAAAGTAGGCCATTAGATTAAATTTATGTCAAGTCCATTAAATTTATCCAAAATTAAACTTACATGTTAACTTAAAAGAAGTTAGTTAATTAAGCCAACCATATTATCTTCAGTTCCATTATAATCTAACTTAATTAATGCTATATTGACTCAAAATCAAAGTATTGTGGTCGTGTTTTATTACTCATAATCTTCATTTGTCATTGTTCATTGTTCCTTTCACTCCCTATTGAGTAAGATATTTTTTCATTAGATTCACTATAATTATCATAAAATATACCAATTATACTCCACCCTAATCAGTTGTTATACATTATTTCCTTTTTATTAGTTCTTGGAAAAGTTCATTGCTAATTAAAATTCCAACAAGCTTTCGCTTGCTTTAGCTTTTGTTCAAAAAATGGCACCTATTTTATATGGTAATAAACAATAGTAATTAGTGATTCCATCATTGTTACTTCTATATATCTTAAATCATCAAATCGTATCTTAGTTCGTTCCAAAACTAAGCCTTTTGAGATCTATAATGTTTTTTATGTTGAAACTTCTTTTTGATGAGGAAGAAAAAATGATAGATTCCATAAGGTGCTTTATAGGTTCTAAAGGAACTCATATAGACCAAAATAATTTTATCAATATGACTAATTTTATGTTAATATAAAAATCTTTTTTTATCATAAAAATATCATGAAAAAAGACATAATTAATTAAGGTGATAGAATTGAATTATATGACCTACTTTCATTGAGCTATGTTTATTGTGAGGTAATATCATCATATTCGATCTAAATATGTTCACAAACATAAACAAACATATTTGAATCGATAAGCAGAAGCGAGATAGGAAAGCGAGATAGAAGCGAGATAGGATCATACATATCTCCAGCCGTAACTTACACGAACAGAGTCGACACTTACAACTCTCACGACAAATTTTCTGTTATAGATCTTCTAAGTTTTTTTCACTCACAACCCGATTGTGCAAATAAAATGAAGAGGAGCAAGCTTAGGGACCAAAACAACAAGTATCACGTCTAATTATAGTGTTCTGCCCATCACAGAGTTCAACAGACGTGAGCAGGGCATATGCGAGTTTTTCTCGCATTATGAACGTTACTAAATTCTAGTGTTGAACTTAGACACTATATGAACTGCATTCTGAAATTTATTTCTCTCGAAAACAACAAGGAATTCCAATGAGAATTGAAATTAAAACAGAGCATTAATTAATTTGGGAATCCTAATTGAAAGAATCCCAACAATTGAGGTCCTAACAAGTAAAAGCAAGGAATTCCAACGGAATTCCAACGGGAATTAAAACTGAAACAGAGCATTAATTAATTTGGGAATCCTAATTGAAAGAATCCCAACAATTGAGGTCCTAACAAGTAAAAATATTGCACCAAACATAATTAATCTAATGGAAGTCAGTATAATATTATCCATTAGCAGGCATTTGCACATATACCATTGATCAATTCTTTATGCTTACATACATAATATATAAACTTTAGTTTTTACATTTATACCGCCCAAATATTTCATATCAACTTTAAAATAACAATATTTTAACTTCTAAGAAACAAAATACATATTTTCATGCATAAGTAATATTATGTATATGTAAAAATTGAAATATAGGTGTTAGATGTGTGAATACATAAGAATTTAGTAGCATGTATGTAAATCTTTCATCCATTAACTATATGCCATAAAAATATGTAAGAGTATGTAATTCTTGCAAAAATAAATCACAATGCATCATAAAAATGTGCTTCGGGAGTAAAGTGAAATGTTGGGTTTTAACACACACCACACGCTAAAAAAGGGGAAGATTTAGACTTCTATCACTCAATTCTTATGTATTTACTTATCCAACAACTAAACTTCAATATTTACATATATGTCATGATAAACGTCCATTAAAAGTATACTTCACTTTTTAAAAGTTAAAACATGAATATTTTTATGTGATAAGAAAGATTTAGGAGGTATAAATGTCAAAATTAAAGTTGAGTTTATATATGTAAATACATAAGAAATGGGGGGTATGAATGCAAACAACCCCCAAATAAAAAAGGAAGAAGAAATATTTACATATGGATCACTCAATTATCATGTATTTACATTTATCTTAAATCTAAACTTCAATTTTTACATATATGTCAACTTATTTATGCATAAAAAGTGTGTCATATTTTTGGTATGTTATGCTTATGAAAGATTTAGGGGGCATTTTGCTGCACTTAGGATTTATCATTAATAGGATTTGGTAAATCCAATAATTTCAGATTTACCAAATCTATATAATGTTAGGTTCAGTTGATGTTAAATCGAATTAAAATTATTAGACATTTCAAAATCTTACAAATATGACATTCTTCCCAAGTTGAGGGTGAAACCTTAAAAAAGTGATGAATACGTAAATTCTTCGATATAACAACTCTCAGGGATGTCCTGTCAAAATTCATCACATATTGCTTGAAAGATTGAGGGCTGACAATTGAATGTAATTCCTTTGTTGGTATTTTATTGAAAGTTTTCAAATATACTCTTGAAACAATAAAAAAATATTAAGAATGTAAATGTAAAATCATTGCGAGTCTTACTTCAGTATAACCATGTTGTATCAACTGTACTAAAGTAACGCAATACAACGAATACAACTTAGTTGTACAAGAGAAATAAACAGACAATCATAGGTTTAAGGAAAAATAAAAAATAAAAGTTCATTCTATCTATATACAATTTTTTAATTTCTATTCATATTATAAACAAAACTCAACGGTGCTGTCTTACTTCAGTACAATTGTGTTGTATCAGTTGTACTGAGTTTCCTCAATAAAACCTATATCACATAATTGTACAAGGAAAATAATCACGCAATCGCATGCAAAAAAATAAAAATAAAAAATTCATTTTATCTATAGGCTCCTTTTTTATTTAGATTTTGAACAAAACTCAAACGTTGTATCAATTGTACTAAGTTCCATCATTACAACCAATACAACATGATTGAACAAGAAAAATAATCAAACAATTGTATGCAAATGTAAAAATTAAAATCTCACTTTTTCTATATAATTTTTTTATTCAAAATGTCAGCCAAACTCAAAATTGTTGTCTTACTTCAGTACAAGCATAGTGTATCAGTTGTACTAAGTTCCCTCAGTACACCACAATAGAATACTCATTCATTTTTAAAAAAAAAACTTTTAATCAACTCAAACATTGATGAATCCTTTCAGTAAAATCGTGTTTACCGGCTGTACGGAGATAAATCAGTACGACCAATATAACATGATTGTATGTTAGGAGCATGCAAAAAAAAAAAAAAACATAACATAAATAAAAAAAAAATCTTTTAATTACGAAACAAAAAATACAACTATTAAACAAAGAGAAAACATGTATTGTCTAACATTTGCAAGCATATCATCTAATTTACTTACCAAAAATAAAACTATTGGATCACATGCAACCGCCGTATGTTATACTTTGATTGCTAAGAGAATCACAGTCAATTTTTCGTGATTAAGCAATGAGACAAACAGACATATAGAGCCTTATAATGAGACAATGTTGTCAAACACAAATAAAAAACTAAATGGAAAAATAGATAAAATGCTGAAGTCTAATATTGGTACAACAGAGGTATCTCAGGGGTAGAAAATACTGAAGGATAAACCATAGAGCAAACCCTAAAGAGCATGATACCGATATCAAAATATGAAACATCGAATGAATTCCAAACGCCACATGTATCGATCACTATATTTTTTGTATTTGACTTTTTTTAAATGGGCTAGGTCTGGATCAGGTCACACGTTAAATGCGTTATTTAGCATCATTTTAGATCAAAATATACGATAAAAAATAAAAAAAAAAATAAGTGAAATATTCCTGCTTTTAAACAAAATAATTTTTCGGATCACCCGAACGACCGAAAGGAAGATCCGACAGCCCGACCATAATCGAGGAGCTTTCAAAGCGAGGCGGAAGCTTGGAGGAGGAAGAAGAAGGCTTTGCTACAAAGTTGAATTGGTGATAAAGATATCGGTGTCTCCTCAATTCGGAGGTATGTTCTTCATCCCTACCCTCTTGTCGGAGCTTTCGTTACATCAGGGTTTAACCTACTCGAATTCAGATACTGAAAAGGTTGAGGCTCGCCGGGCTTGCGATTCAATCCGATGGCGTGGTTTCGCGCCGCCTCTACTGCGGCGAGAGTCGCGCTTCGCAGAAACATAGCTCAGTCTTCTCACCACTGCAATAGAACCCTCGCCGCGTCACCTCTGCCCGGTTTCCGAGCCTTTCACACGACGGTTCTCCGGCGAAAAGCTGCCACGCCTGTGCCCCGTGCCGTTCCTCTCTCCCGCCTCACCGACAGCTTTCTCAATGGTACGAGCAGCGTCTACCTCGAGGAGCTCCAGCGTGCCTGGGAGGCGGATCCCGACAGCGTGGATGAGTCATGGGACAACTTCTTCCGGAACTTTGTTGGACAGGCCGCCACTTCGCCGGGAATATCTGGTCAGACGATCCAGGAAAGTATGCGCTTGCTGCTCCTCGTTAGGGCTTATCAGGTCTACGGTCACATGAAGGCAAATCTTGATCCGTTAGGGCTGGAACAGCGTGAGATCCCTGAAGATATTGATCCCGCTCTGTACGGATTCACCGAGGCAGATTTGGATAGAGAATTTTTTCTTGGGGTGTGGAGGATGGCTGGCTTTCTTTCGGAGAACCGTCCCGTTCAAACGCTTCGTGCAATATTGAACAGGCTTGAGCAAGCTTACTGTGGGACTATTGGTTATGAATACATGCACATTGCAGATCGAGAGAAATGCAACTGGTTGAGGGAAAGAATCGAGACCATAAAGCCTCGGGGTTACAGTCAGGAGCGTAGCGAGGTTATCCTGGACAGGCTCATTTGGAGTTCACAGTTTGAAAATTTTCTTGCCAAGAAGTGGCCTGCCCAGAAAAGGTTTGGGCTTGAGGGCGCAGAGACTCTGATCCCGGGCATGAAGGAAATGTTTGACAGATCATCAGATCTTGGGGTTGAGAGTATTGTCATTGGAATGCCTCACAGAGGCAGACTGAATGTTCTAGGAAATGTTGTCAGGAAACCACTTAGGCAGATTTTTAGTGAGTTTGACAAAAAAAAGCCCAAGGATGAGGATGGCTTATACACGGGAACTGGAGATGTAAAGTATCATCTAGGCACTTCTTATGACAGACCAACCAGAGGTGGAAGGCAAATTCATTTGTCTTTGCTTGCAAATCCAAGCCATTTGGAGGCGGTTGATCCAGTTGTGGTTGGTAAAACAAGAGCAAAGCAGTATTACTCCAATGACTTTGACAGGACAAAGAACATGGGTGTCCTAATCCATGGAGATGGGAGCTTTGCTGGGCAAGGTGTTGTTTATGAGACCCTTCATCTCAGCGGATTGCCCAATTACACTACTGGCGGAACCATACACATTGTAGTTAACAATCAAGTTGCTTTCACGACTGATCCACAAGCTGGGAGATCTTCGCAGTATTGTACTGATGTTGCCAAAGCCTTAAGTGCTCCCATTTTCCATGTCAATGGTGATGACGTAGAAGCAGTGGTCCATGTCAGCGAGCTTGCATCGGAGTGGCGCCAGAAGTTCCATTCAGATGTGGTGGTTGATATAGTGTGCTATCGTCGACATGGTCATAATGAAGGTGATGAGCCTTCATTTACCCAACCAAAAATGTACCAGGTTAACATCTATACTAAACCTTACTTTTGTTCATACTATCAATTATTTCGTCATAAATCATTTATACGTGTTTTTTTTGTGGATGAATATTTAGTTAATTGTTTACTGAAAACTTTTTTAGGCATGCGCTAGCCTTTAGGATGGATTCTTGTTTAAACTCTAATGAGCATTTTTTTTTGGGTATGCAGTAATTCATTCTGAAGCTGTCATTTTCTTTTGGAGAACAATCTCATTTATGATTGCTTATCTATATGTTGTAATTAGAAGTTTGGGTTAGAGCAGTTTTGGTATCATAACTTGCTTTGCGGTAATTGTTTGTAGCCATTTTAGCCTATTTATCCATGGGAAATTTAGGATTATCTCTAGTTAAAATACTTTTAAAAGGCTAGTAACAAAACAATATGCGTCTATCTAAAGCACAAATTTCATTGCAAGTGAAAAAGAAAAAAAAAAAAAAAGCAATGAGACAGGATGTCTTAGGGGTATAAGTTTTTTAATGCATCTAAATGATGCTATGAATGCTGGCCACACAAAAATAACGATTCACGTACAAAAACCATTTTCTACATGCAATTCATTTACTGCTAGTGTCAACTAAAAAATGTACGAAAGATGAATTGAAATGATCTTTCTTGAACAGATCATTTCAAAGAAAGTGCAATTTAAAAGGTCAATTAGCAAAATAATTTTTTCCTGGTGTTGAAATCCCAATTGTAGCAAATTTGATCAAAATCGCGAGACTTGCAACAACTATAATAAAAGATTTAGAAAGAAGAGATTAATATGTCAGTGCTATCTAACATAGTTACTTGAAAGTCACTACAAGTTATTATAATTGAATCCCTGTTGCATCATATCTATGTTTTCATACTCAAACCTCCCTTCTTGCATGCGCGCGCACACATACACAAAAATAGTTAGAAATCGTTAAGTTGAAAAAAAATAATGTTTTTTCGCCAATACATGCGGAGATATCTTTTACTGAAATTTGCATTTTTCATTCAAAGAAGTACCACATCCAAATTAAGTGTAAAATCCTTAAATTTTATTAATCAAATGATGAATAATGCATACCTTATCCCTAATCATATGCTGGTGAGTTGCTTCATTTCAAATCCAATATCAATGTAAAAATTGGCAAGGTGAAGCTTATTGAAAATATAATGTAAACACCACTGATTCTCTATATATGTGGTATAGGATGGGAATGAAGTAAAGATAATAAAACTCACAATAAATATTGCACCAAACAGAGTAAAATCCTACCATAGAGCGCATTACAAAACCCACCTTAGTCAGAGGAACTAAAAATGTAGCTAGAAAATTTAAATTCCTCTTGTATAATAAAAAAAAATACATCTTTTTAACCATTGAGAAAATCACACAGTGAACCACAACACATATCTAGTCAATTGCACTTTTCGTAGGATTATGAACACCAAAAAATGGAGCTAATTAATTCAAATTTAAACCAAATTAGATTAGAGGTTAACCAGACCAGGAATATCATAAAGATAACACATCTTATTTTATAGACTACTCCATTGCATGATTATACATAAATGAAATTGAAATTTTAAAATAAAATACAACTATTAATTATATTCGTTGGCTTCAATGCATTGCAAAAATTTTAAATGTTCCTATTTATTTCATTTTTTATTTCTTAGAAGTTCTTAAAGGAATCTTTTTTTGATCCAATTTTCTTCTATTCACACTAGTATAGAGCTTATAATTGTCATAATGTCATTTTTTTTTTGAAGTTTTTCATGAAGATAATATATATGTTGTGTGAATGATTGTGCTTATGTATCAGGCCTAGACTTGATATGAAGATCAACAAGATCTATATGCTTTTTAGTTTGAAGTCATATAATAGTCTTAAATGAACTCGTGCTTGTAAATTTTTTTACACATTAATTATATGCAAATTCCATATAAGTTAAATCTCAACAGATTGCAATTTATGTTATCATAAAAGATAATTGATCGCCAAACTTTTGCTTTACTATCTTTGTCTGTTCATCCAGTTGAACTGCTTTATTGAAGTATAATTTAGCAATACAAGATGCTTAGACATTTTTTTTTAGATGAAATGGAAAAAATCCATTTCAGAGAAATGATTTATGACTATAAAAATTGAATCATAATTTCTTAGATGTTGCGATAGCACTAACATAATATTCATGCTAACATCCTCTCAAGGCTTATATGGAATAGGAAATGAAGCGTAATCAACCGCGTTTTAAGCTTAACATGCTTAGTTGTATTCATCCTCTAATGAGGCAAATTAGGCAATGATGACCCAAGAATTGAGTGAATACATGTGTGTTCTTAATTTGTGGCTATCCATTAGGACAAATATTCAATCAACACTTGTTTAACATTATCAGTCAATCAAGCACAATATTATTCAACTCAATAATCACCAAAAGGATAAACCAAATCTCTTTTTCTACTCTTTTTCTCATATGCATTTGTATTTAGAATAGGTAAAGATTTTTTAATTTCTTTGGGGGCTCGATGTTCTTTTGCTGATTCATATTTATTTTTAGTTGCAGTTTTCAGAACTATCTTTCTTCTGGCAGTTTTTAGTCAATAAATATTCATTTCAAAAATAGTAACATATACATTGAATAATGAATGTCAATTTCAAAATAATATGAGCAATGTCTGTAGGTAACCCTTCACAACAAGTTCTATTAGTATAAACAGTTAATTGAGTAGGAGCTTAACCAATTTTGAACGGAAAATAGAAGTTTCTGGTCCACCCACGCTAACTTATATGGATATGGATTTGTTTCAGAATTCAGACCACTGTAGTCTGCAATAAATTAAGAAAATATATTCAGACAAGTTTTATGAGCATTTTCTTATTTTTGCAATAGGCTTGAAAAATTCATCTCTTTTCCATCAAACTTAATCTTGGGTATTCCACAACACTTTTCCGTCCATTTCAACTCTTTTCCATCAAACTTAGCTATAGCACAACACTTGAAATTTAAAAGTTTTCAACTGAAATATTCTTAAAATTACTATTTTCTTATCAAACTCATATACATCATTATTCTTATTGATTTTAATGTCATACTTATCGACAATTATCTTTTTGATTACTTAAAATATGCATAAACAAAAAAATTTTGATCCAAATGTAGATGCACTTGCTACCATTAGATGCAATAAGTATTGCAGCTAAACTAATTTAATGAAATGATGCACTCATAGAGTATGCAATAGCCTTTTTAGGAACATGAAAATTTGGAATTTGACCACAATCTACTGTAAGTTGAAAATCATACTCATGTGTGCAATGTGATGAGGTGTCATCTCTCTGTTTATTGCAAGTCTTTGACTAAATTGAAGCTTAGAGAGCATTGTTGTAGGATTTTCCACAATATCAAGATGCGATAACTCTTTAAATTTATTCACATATTCAATAATAGTTTTAGTTGTTTGTTTTAATTAATTAAGTTTAGCAAGTAAAAAATCATGAAAAGACAATGAAAAGTATTTTTTTTTATAGCTATTTGTTTCAGCACAAATGATGGTATATTCCCTTCTAAGTTTTCACTCTATTCTTATCATATTTATCTAATATAGTTTAGCTTGCCTAACAAATTTTAAGTTTATAATTCTTACTTGACGTTGACCTGACATAGCTTACCATTTAAAGAATGATAAAAAAATGCTTCAAATTTATCATTAAAACTAGACAATTCAACTTTTCTATGTCAAAAATTTGAAATTTATGATTTCCATAAACCTTTATCAAGCACCTTATAATATCTTTCTTATTTTCCCCATGACATTTTCTTCTCTCTTATCTCTGCTAGTGTTCAGGTGAATGGATGATATGATTCTACTTTATAAGTTCATGTGCATGAATTTGATTGGTTCTAAAATCATTTCGTTCATTAACATTGTACAATTGATTTTACTTGTTTAACATTTCAGCCAATTGATTTTGCCAAGTGTTCAAAATCCTTTTTTCTTATGATCTTTTAAGTTATCTTGAATCCTGATTTTGAGCGTCATATTTATGAAGCTCAATTCTCTTTAATTGTCTTATATCAAAGTTTTGAAGGTCTTAAGAGTTTAGGGTTTGTAACACAACTAATACTATGTTTGTAGATAACTCAAAATAAATTAGTATTCACATATAAAAAGCCACTAATTGCACCCAAAATTTTCTTTCCTTAGATGTAAACTATAAATACGAGAATGCTGAGCCAAAGATATATTGCAACGATTGATTAATTCAAAGAAAATAGTAAGAAATCTGTACTATGAATAATCAATAAGTTATGTTTTCTATTTTTTCTCCCCTCAATTTGAATCCCAGTTTTAGCAAATTTAACCAAAATGAGAACTGTTGTAACACAAATAACAAAGTATTTATGAACAACAATATTAAGGTAAGAAATCACCATGTATAAATTTTTATACAAGAATATACCTTCCTCCGATTTTACTTGCTGTGATGCACTTCTTGGATTAGGGAGAGTACATAAGAAAAGGTGGATGAAAGTTAGATTAAATGTACTAGTGATTAAATATGTTTTCAACCCAAAAGTTTAAACTTAATGCTGAGTGCCAACTATTTAGTATTTCTACACCGATTTATTTCAGCCATTTTAATGTGGAATTAAATTAAATACTCTTCTGTGCGCGTTAACTGGTATTTACCCAAATACTGACATTTTAATATTCTCCTGGAGGTCATTCGAAACCATCCAAATGCACTTGAAATTTATGAAAAGAAACTTGTGGAGTCGGGGACATTTTCTAGGGAGGATATTGATAAGATTAACCACAAAGTGGAGACCATCTTGGAAGAAGAGTTCAGTTATAGCAAAGACTATATTCCGAATAAAAGGGACTGGCTTTCTGCTTATTGGACTGGATTCAAATCTCCAGAACAGATATCTCGTATTCGAAATACTGGGTATAGTTTTTAGGCTTCTTCTTGTCATTTTTGATGGGTTATATATTTGTTTTTCCTAGTTTGCTTATTTTTGCTACTGTACAGTGTGAAACCTGAAATTCTTAAGCGAGTTGGGGAAGCCATCACAACCATCCCAGAAAATTTCAAAGCTCACCGAGGTATTAAAAGAGTTTTTGACCAGAGAGCCCAGATGATTCAAACTGGAGAGGGCATAGACTGGGCAGTTGCAGAGGCTCTTGCTTTTGCAACACTTATAGTGGAAGGAAACCATGTCAGATTAAGTGGCCAAGATGTTGAAAGGGGCACATTTAGCCATCGCCATGCTGTTATTCATGACCAAGAAACTGGAGATATATACTGCCATTTAGATCATTTAACTATGAATCAAAATGAGGAGATGTTCACTGTTAGTAACAGGTACTTTTTATGGGAATTTATTGATTTTATTGATGCTAAAATGTGGTGCTTTTTGCTATTTCTTTTGACACTTTGATATGAAGTTACATTCCATATTTTAGAACATATAAGAATTAATTTCTTTAGGAAATTTGTTTTGTTGGTATAATTTTAAATGTTAATATTAGCAGAAAATGAATTCAATCATCTAATTTTGATGGTCTTTTTGTCTCGGATTATATTTTAGAGTGAGGCGCCCCAATTAGGAGGGGCTATCACAAATAAATGCTTTCAACAATTGGGCTTCTGATTGTTAACTTTGTCTCCGCCAGCTTGAATTCCTCTGTTATGTTACTTGCGTATCCATTGTTATCTTCTCTTCTTCCTTTCTTCTCTCTCATCCATTATACGCCCTCCTACCTTGCTTTCTTTAAGGATTCTTCACCTAAAGCTCTGTCTTTTTTCATCCATTTTAATGAACAAATAATTTTGAAGCTTCCCTGCCAGCCACCCCAGCCATTCATCAATTTCATGATCTTATGCTTTCTTAGTGAATGATTTTTTTTTTTGAATTAATCAAAGTGAAGTAGAGTTCCTGGCTTTGTTTATTCTTCAAGCTTTCCTTGATTTATCCTAACTAATTCAGGTTCTTGTATGGATTTGTGAAGCTTGAACATGAATCAATCGTGCTATTCTACCTTGTGTATCAGAAGCTTTGTAGGAGTATGATAGGTTCACTTCTATACCTTGCTGCCAGTAGGCTCGATATCATGTTTGTTGTGTGCTCGTTTACAGGCAGCCCCCAAAGAATCTCATTTAACGGCAGTCGAGCGTATATTTCGATATAGACACTTCTAAGTTAAGTTTATGGTACCCTAAAAATTCTCTATCATGTGATTTTGTTTATTCGGACGCCAATTATGTAAGATTTATAGTGGCTAGGAAAATCACATCGGACACATGTTAGTTTTTAGGATCATCACCTATGTCTCTGTCCTCTAGAAAGCAGAATTTTGTAGCTTTATCCCCTGCTGAAGCTGAGTACATAGCTATTGATAGCCGTGTTGCTCAAGTCCTCTGGATGAAGCAACAACTAGAAGACTTTGGTGTTACTTTGGAGCACGTTTCGGTTAAGTGTGATAGCATTGGTGCTATCAACTTAACTAAGAATCATATTCAACACTCACAGACCAAGCATATAGAAATTAGACACCACTTCATTAGGGATAATGCTTTTAAAGGTGATTTGGGCATTGAATTCATTGCTACCAGAGAGGTAAACGAGTCGAGCCGAGCTCGATCCATATCAAGCTCAAGCTCAGCTCGTTTGTCAAATTGTGAGTGTTGAGCTTTGGCTAATGGTTGTAGCAGCCTGCTTGCGAGCTTGAACTAAAAATTCATTTTTTACGGGAGCCCACCGAAGAAAGTACTGGTGGCCAGATGAGGATGATTTAGCTGCAATTCATTGGAAAATGCATTGAAATGACTAAGGGTAGGCTAATTGAGCCGGCTCAAGAGCCGAGCCAAGGCGAGACTGGCTCGAGCTCTTGGCACTTTAAGCTCGGCTTATGTGCTCATTAACGAGCTGACTTGACTCATTTACATTCCTAATTGCTATTGATTTTCAAATTGCTGATCTTTTTACAAAACCTCTACTTTAAGAACATTTTTGTACTTTAAGAAGAATGCTTGGCATGCTAGATCCTCTTATTTAAATTCTTGCCTTTCTATGTACATGTCTTCCATTTTTTTTAATGTTGTTAAAAGGGGGAGAAGAAAATATGTTGATTTTCAAGATTTTTATTATTCACGCATAATACTTAGGAGGAACATTATTGAATTCATTTTTATTACTATATTATTCATGATTTTACTAGTTATACTTGTTAAGATTGTGATGTAAGTTCACTTTGTACTTTTATCATATTACACCACCAACATAAAATTTGTCATCATAAAAAAAGGAGAGATTGTTAGCCCCATGAGCCATGTCATGTGTTCCATTGGATTTTGGTAAGAACAAACAATTTGTTGGGTAATTCTAATGCTATATATATTAAGTGTTCCAGGAAACTATAAAGATAGCTCAATCAAAAATTTTGGTTAAATTAAATGCAGCTCAGAACTGAAGCTAGGTTTTTGCTACTTATTATGCACAATAAATAGAATTTAATAGCTCATAAATAAATAAATAAATAAATTTCGGAATCATCATTTCACATTTGCAAAAGAATTCTACACAAATTTTACATAAGTAACTTTGCATTATTTTCAAAATCATCATGAAATTATCTTTTTTGGACAATTTTTCTTTTTGCATGATTTTAAGCTTCATACATGCATCCAAAACTTGACTTAAGTTTCAAAATTTATTTCTTTAATGTCCTATCATATCATTATTCAATTCTATATATCTATTTGAGGACATTTAGTGCATGCTATCGTCAAACTATCCAAATTGTCAATTTTCTCTTTCCTAATTGTAAAAAATGATTATTTTGTCATGACTGATTGGAATAATTGTATTCTAATATGCTGTTTTTGAAATAAAACTAGATAAAATAATTATTTAAAAAAAAATGGCTTGATTATTTTTTCAAAATGATACCTTAAATTAAAAATAGTATGGGGGAATATTGTATCTCTCCTATTATTATTTTTCTATCCTCTACCCTATCAGAATAATAATTCTTCTTATTCAATTTTTTTGGCCAAAATTTCCAAGTTATTTGAACTTAATATGAATTAATTTATTTACTTATATTAATGCAATCCATTTTATTAATTTTGGATAATCATTTCTATTCAAATTAAATTTTTTTCTCTCTTCCTCACTTGCATTAATTAAATGTCTAGTTTTTTTTAAGATTATCCAAATTTATTTTGGCTGATATAATTTTGAATTTTCTCATATATTTAGGGCTATATTATTATTTCTAAATTGCATTAAAATTTGAAATCAAAATTCATATTATTTCCTAAGATTTTTTATATGATATCTTTCTTTATATATTAAGGTTTATTTTACAAAATTTTCAAAAATTTCTAATTATTACTTAAATTGAATCCTAATTAAATCTCTTGATTGGTGATAAAATTTATTAATTTAATTCCTCATCATGCTTATCCTATTTAAAATCTTCACTTTATTTCTGATTGCCGCCCTTCCAATTGTTTATTTTTTATTTATTTTATTTCTAAATCTCAAAAACATTTCAAAAATTATTTTCCTCCAATTCTTTCATGTTTGGCCGAAATTCTTATTATAAATAGGTGTATATGGCTTGGTTAATCAAACTTTCGCTAAAAATTCATACCAAAATTATGTCTGATTTTTGCTCAATCGCTAAATCTCTTCTCTTTTTTATTTGTCGAAATTTCCCGAGTCTTCTCTTGCTCCAAGCATGTCCGAGAAACATCCCTTACTCTCTTTCGCTCAAAATACTTCAAGGGCTGAATTCTTTAGTAAGATAAAATTGTGAGTTTGTATTAAATATTTTCATCTTGGTTTAACCTTCATGAAATGTTTGAGTTCATGCTTTTAAAATGCTAACTATTTCACATTCAAATTCCATATTAATTTTAATTTAATATAAGCGATGGTTTTGTCAAATTTGGTTTATTTCTCAAAGTGACATTCATAAACTTATTTTAATTTCATTGCAAAAATTATATTTTGAGTTCTTCATATCATTTGGACTAAGTATTTTAAAATTGTTGGTCTTTACTTCATCTTCATATTATTTAAACTAAAATAAAACTGTGAGCTATTTTGTTTCATAAAATAACTTTTTTTTATATTCCTATGTGAGGGTTAAATCTAGTAATCCTTTTTTTTGTTTTTGTTTGTTGATTGTAATCTTGTGTCGAGGTTCTGCTCATGTGTTGTGAGTGAAGTATCCATCTGTTGTGGGAAGGATACGATTGTTGTAGCATTAGTTATTTTTAGTTGAATCCTAGTCTTGGGTTTTAGGGTTAGGCGCCGAGTTGGTCAGTTTTTTGGGTTTTTTGTCGAACCACATAAAATCTTTTGTTTGCTTTACTTGCACTTTCTCTTAATTTTTGTTTATCTTTTTAATGTGCAAGTCACATCATTAACCTTCTCTGCAAATAAACATAAATTTTAAATTACCTTTTGCTCTACGGTGCTCCAACAACAACTGCTACAAGCCTTTATCTTGCTACGTGGAGTTGGCTACATGAATCCTTTTTCTCCATTGTGTCCTACTGAGTGTCATATTTTTATTTAATTTTAATAGATTAAGATTATTTTTTATACAATATGCTCAAGTTTTTTTCAGTACGCCTCCGTCTTTCTTAATATAAGTCGAATCTAAAACATCTACTCTCCTAATTGGATTATGAGATGGTCGATATTTAATTTGACAAAATCATCTAACACGACTCTTTAATCTTATTTATGCATTTTGTCTCTAAGGGTAAAGCCACTCATCCACCTAAGCATTCTCATCTAAGTTGCACTTTAACTTTGTTATATGCTTCTTTGAAAGACTAACATTTCATGCCATAAAGCATTGCAAGTCTCTCAACCATCTTATAATTTTTTCCTTTAAGTCTAAGCAACACTTTTTTATCACACAATAGGCCTCTGATGCATTCCTCCACTCCAACCGACCAACCTGAATTCTATTAATAACATTCCCATCTATATCATCATCACTTTGAACAATAGACCTAAGATATCTAAAACTTTTGCACCTTTTAATGATTTGATCGCCCGTAGTTATAACTTTGCCACTAGATCTACTACTAGTAAAATTACATTCCATGTATTTAGTTTCAGATCTACTCAAACAAAAACTTTTAGACTCCAATATCAACCTCCGTAATTCAAGTTTTTTCTGAACTCTTTCTCTGTTCTTATCCACAAGAAAGATATCATCAATGAAAAACATACACCTAGGTACATCATCCGACAAATGTCTTGTAAGTGTATTTATTCATAACTAAAGCAAAAAGATATGAGCTTAAAGCCGATCCCAGATGTAATCCAACAGAAATAGGAAAATACTTGGTCAATCCTCATTCTGTTCGAACACAAGTAGCAACTCTAGAATATCAGTCATATCAATACCTTTCTTTTCTAGAACTCGCCAAAGAACTTCTCTTGAATATAAGTCTACAATGCTCCAAAACATAAAATTGTTTTATCATTTAAATTTTCTACTAAAAAAAGATCAAAGTGTAAGATTGAGAAGATTTTTTATAACAACCCCCACCCCCTCGTCTTAGGTGCCACAAACAACTATCACATTCTTCATAGCCTACTTGCGTATTATTATTCCTGCCCAATCATCATTTAGTTTATCTTCATTATTTTATCTAGCTATTTAATTAATTAATCAATGTTCTCCCCTTTTGCAAGATGCTTGTTTCATGAACATATTAATCTTTTCTCAACTATTTGGAGTTTGTTCTATGAATTTTTATTTTTTATTTATTCATGAGGATTAATCTAGTTCGTGTAAATCTATTTTATTTTAATTTAGTTAATGTAGATGCTTTTTGGTACAACTCCTATTTTTTGTACCCTTCCTTCCCCTTTCTCTTCATAGTACTTTCACAAGAAGTTTATTTATCATTTGTATTGGTGCATTTCTACTACCCATCATACTTGCTCAAAAACACAAGTCTATTTTCTACTATCTCATTTCTAATAGTTGCTACTCCTACAACACGTCTCATATAATTATTTCTCAATGGATCTCTTTTAATTTTAATTTTATTTGTAATTTTTATATATTCATCTTCTTCCCTCTATCGTACATACACAAAGCGCACAATCTATTTTACTACCTCATTTTCAATAGTTGTCACTCTTACATACATCTAGGGGTGTAAACAAGCCCGCACGAACAAAGAGTCGTTTTGACAACCCTAATCAGGTAGTCATAAGATGTTAAGGATTTGGGCAAAATTTAAAAATTATTGTTTATATTAAAACATCATTTGAATCTAATTTAATAATTATTATTCAATTTTCTTAATTAATACTTTTAATTGATTATAAATCTTTGTAACCTTGTAGTCAATTAATTTTCTTAAAAATACTACTCATCAAAGATATATATATATATATATATATAATTGATTAGTAGTATTTTGAGCTAAAATGAGCCGAACACGAACGAACAAATCTTGTTTGTGTTGTTCGTGTTCGGCTCGTTAACATAGTGAACGAGCCGAACACGCGCTTCTTAGCGAGCCGAACAACGGGCCGTTTTGACAGCCCTACATACATCCCTCTCATAAAATCATTTCTCAATGCACCCTTTTTAGTTTTTTTATTTTTTATTTTTAAACTATCATTCTTATTAACGTATCTTCTGCTCTTCACTGTTGCATAAGTCTATTTACTACTGCCTCATCTTCAATAGATGCTAAACATCCATTTTAAGTTTCTTATTTCTAAGATATTAGTGATTTTTTCATCGTCCCACGTTGATGTAAATAAAATATCCATTGTAAGTGCAGCATTATAAAACTTATTCTTATAGCAGTAGTTGAGCTATTTTAAGTAGTTAGCTTTAACTCTAGAATTTATACCCGTATTTATATTGCTATTATTCAATATGATATATTGAATTTACTTACAGTATACAAGTACTTGCAGCTTTATAAAATTTAATACTTATAACAGTAGTTGAGCTATTTTAAGTACATAGCTTTAACTCTAGAATTTATACCCGTATTTAAATTGCCATTATTCAATATGATATATTGAATTTACTTAAAACTTACTATGTATCAAATGCCTTTCTTTGATAGCATCTTTTGCAAGAAAGTGCTTTAGTAGATTGTTTATTGGGGACGCATTGTCAAAATATTAAACTCTTTTGTATCTGTATTTGCAGTTCTCTTTCTGAGTTTGCTGTCCTCGGCTTTGAATTGGGCTACTCTATGGAGAACCCTAATTCCCTAGTGCTATGGGAAGCTCAGTTTGGTGATTTCGCCAATGGTGCTCATATTATATTTGATCAGTTTTTAAGCAGTGGAGAGTCAAAATGGCTTCGCCAAACTGGACTTTGTGTGCTGCTTCCCCATGGTTATGATGGTCAAGGCCCAGAACATTCGAGTGCAAGATTGGAACGTTTTCTTCAGGTATTTCATGCAGCTTTAAGAATTGCAATTTATTAGAAGATAGTTCTGCAAACAAATTGTAAATTTCTAGATATATCACTGTGATTGTCAATGTGTGAAAGCTGGTGTATATTGCTAAATATATCACGATGATTGTCAATGTGTGAATTCTGGACTCCAACTTGCTAGAAAGGCTTTATTAATGCGTTTAGTAGATGCTCTTGCTGATATTTATATGCTTCTGCTGATTGAAATTCAAAGATTCCAAATCATTCTGCTTGAAAGTCAGCATGCACTCTGTTTGTGATATGGTTTTTTTGCACTAAAATTACTTTATTTTTTCTTGGCAAAGGAAAAATGCGTACTTGATGCATTGTTTCTAAAGATAAACACTTTTTGTAGGAGAAGTTATAAGATATCTGCTTTTCTTTGACATATTTTTTGTTGGAACATAATATTTACTCGGTTTAAAGTTGTCTTTTTTGACTCTTATCATTTTTCATATAGCATTAGTGATGCCCCTATCTTCTGCTCACTGACATAACCATGCATTATGTAGATGAGTGATGACAATCCATATGTTATTCCAGAGATGGAGCCAACCCTTCGGAAACAGATCCAGGAATGCAATTGGCAAGTCGTGAATGTCACAACTCCAGCAAATTATTTCCATGTTCTGAGACGTCAGGTTAGCTTGTCATATATTTTTAGTTCTGAACTGACCTTGTTAACATACTTATGAGTATTTGTTTTTCAACAGCTGCACAGGGATTTTCGTAAACCATTAATTGTGATGTCTCCTAAGAGTCTTCTTCGTCATAAGGACTGCAAATCAAATCTTTCAGAATTTGATGATGTGGCAGGGCACCCTGGATTTGACAAACAAGGAACACGGTTCAAACGCCTCATTAAAGATCAGAATGATCACAAAGATAGGGAAGAAGGCATCAGCCGCCTTGTTCTTTGCTCTGGAAAGGTAGCAACATCTTACCTTTTGTAACATATTATACTGCATTGACTCTTGCAATCAAGGATCACATAGTTTATATGGATTTTGATTTTTGCTTCATTTTGTGTGTTTAACTTTTATTATTCAGGTATATTATGAACTTGATGATTATCGACAGAAAAGCAATCGGAAGGATGTTGCCATCTGTAGGGTTGAACAACTTTGTCCCTTTCCCTATGATCTTGTTCAGAGAGAGCTAAAACGATATCCAAGTATGCAACCTAACTCTGGTATCCCAGCTTGAAAATAAATACATTGAATTCTTTTGTCGGCATATGTTATTAAAAATGAGCCTTCATTTTCATTGGTTCTATTCTGATGGGAACTGCTACATATATTTTGGAACCCAGTAGTTTAATCTCCTACTAAAGCGGTTTATTTTCCATTGAAATTGATTTGGAGACTGACATCTTTTTGAAAGAGAATGCTAGGAGAGATTAAAAGTTTGGTCAACCGTTTTTATTTGGTCTGGTATCAGGGTGTTGATTTCTTTTTTTATTTAGTTGTGAAGTTGATTTTTTTTTTTTTTTGCGTTTTTAAATTACAATCAAACAAATTATCAAAAAAGATGAGCTTGACATTCTTGCAGTAGGGAAGGCTTAGTTGATTCATTTTTGTGCTTTGTGTTGGGTTGTTAGACGTTTTATCAATCCCTGCAATCCAATATACATGATGTTTCTATTTTTGGATATGGAGTAAGTACAATTTTTCAGGTGAAAAAAAAAATATTATTGAAAAATTTGGTAATTGTAAAAGACTACACTATCCCAAGTTAGAGTATGTAAATATGGTGCTTTATTGTAAGTTTTTTTTTCTTTAGATGAGTAAAACATGTCTAAATTTTGTCAACAGGTTTAATCAAAATGATGATTAGAAATTTAAAAATAAACCAAATGAACAAGCAAATTATCCACTTTCTCCTAACATTTTACTGGCAAGGAATTGTTCTGCTGTTCAAGAAAATGAAATGGTGATGGAAAAAGGATCGAAGTTGGCTAGCTAGGATGGAAACTGAACCCAATCAGTCAGATAGAGGAAATATTTTAAAAGTCCTATTGAAAAAATCTGATTCTGCGACCCTTTTTTTCTCTGTTTTTGAGTTTAGTCAGGAAATTATTTTGGACATTTGTATGATAGTTCTATTATGTGCTCCATGCTTCTTTTTTTCTGATCAACAACTGCTAAACTGATTTTGGGCTGTGACGAGTAGAATGTTGTGAAACAAGCTGATTTTAAGCTCGTCTAAGTGTACAGATTCTTCCCAATTTCATGTTCTGCTGATGGGTTTTGAAGCACTTTTTGTTATTCAATATGAAATCTCTCAATCAAATGAGTCGGGCTAATTGGTTGGTTTGATCCTATATGTTGTGGGTCTATAATGCTTACTTCATTGCGGCATTCTTTGCGCCTAAATCTACTATATAATCCTATGTATTATATTTTTACATATCTAATGCCGAAAATTCAATTTTTACTTGTATTTTATCTGACCTATGCATGAAAAGATGTTTTTTCCTTTTTTTTTAAATAAAAAATTAAAATGGTGGTATTTTTTATTTGAAATGAAAGATTTGGCTAGTATAAATGTAAAATGTAAATTTTAGGTGTTGGATAGAGGAATTGGGTGGTATTATGTAAATGCCTCAATTTTAATTGATTCTTGATGTATTGCACTCATCTCAAAGCAAAATCAACAGCTTTGAGACCCGTCTTAACTAAAAAAGTATTCATTTACTTTTGGATTTCGACACACATTTTGTTATTGAATTTTTCATTTTGTGCTTTCCCAGATGCGGAGATTGTTTGGTGCCAGGAAGAACCGATGAACATGGGCGCATATCATTATATCGCTCCGCGCCTAGGCACCGCCCTGAGATCGGTTGGCAGGGGGACTATGGAGGACATCAAATATGCAGGAAGGGCACCTTCGGCTTCCACAGCCACTGGCTTCTTCTCTGTTCATGAGAAGGAGCAGCATGAGCTGGTAGAGAAGGCGCTTCAGCCTGAGCCAATTAATTTCCCATTCTGATTATATCTTATCAGCTTTCAACAAAGGAAATAGGTATCTATTCCTTTCGCTGAATTGAATTTTTCCTTGAGAACATAATCTTTGAATAAACTATATGTAATTTTTTAGAGTTTTTTGGTTTTCTCAGTGTGAACGGTATGTTGAATAATGCCTGTAACATGTCCTCTTACTGAACTTAGAAATAATGTTAATGCCATATAAACTTCATATCTGGGAAGACACATTTTCACAGTTAATTACTTCTGAAGTGAATGTATTCTTATAGTTTGTTTTGTGAAAGGAAAGTATTATGAGGTCTTCTCTGGTTAAAATAATTTCATCAGCGATGATTGATGTGGTTCTTTTCAATAATTAGAAAATCTCTTGATAGATGCGATGTGAATTATGAACGATATTTCTTGCTGAGAGGAGGTTGAAGTGTTTTGGAGGTCATAAAACTCTGAGCATCATACAACCATTCATGGTGGGCATGAAAAGTAAGGGGACAAAATGTGGTCCGCTTGAATGTTCTCTCATCATTAATGGCTGGTGGATGTTGATATTGTACTCTGACAAGGATTGGAAAATGGTCAACGAGGAGTTTTGAGAGTAAGATGATGAAGAGTGGTGAAGATTGGACAATTGGAAAGATAAGTGTCCAACATCAATGGCTAGGAAAAAAAAAATGTTGGTTTATGGTAGCTATCTTGAAATTTGTGATGGGAACACCAAAATTTTGGTGATGAGCAATTGGCAGTGTTCTATGTTCTATTATATTTTGGTTATTGGTAGATATCAAACAACTATCGACGAACCTGGAGGTTGGGCAACAATATCAATATGTTGTTGGTTGATAATTTTCTTGATAGGTGAAGAGATCAAGTGATTAAGGGGATATGCGTCGAACATGGGTGGTTGACAAATGTTATCAATGGATGATGAATGTTAGTTGTTAGTAGTAGGACATCAGATACAGGCAGACATCAAATGATGATCAACGAGGAGGTTTTGAGCTTAGGTAATGTTGAGCTATTAATTAGATGATTCTCTTAATAGAATTAGAGACCAGGCAACAAGAAGGGTACACAATATATGATAGTTGGTGTTAATCATTAAATCTTGATTCTAGTATCAATCAAAGTAAGCTTGGTGGTAAAATTGGTCATTCTTATTATGAAAAAGGAGATGAGAAAAGATGGACATTATTCGCAACAATGGTTCAACACAATCATTCGAAGGTGTATTCCTTGTTAGAATAACCATCATAGAATCAAGTTGAAACACCGGTAGAATGAGGTTCAATTATGATACAAATATCTTTCAAACAAGGTTCGATCATAATTTCTTTATAGTCGTTACAATAGAGTGCATTCTAAAAAATCTGATGTATAAGACTATAATGTTAATATAGTAGAGTGAGTGTAGGCACAAAAACTATAACAGAATGAAGAATGAATTATAAGGTAGGTACAATATAATGTAACCTTAGATTATAACACAACAATATGCTATTCAACAATTATAATATAATAGAGCTCAATTCAAGAGATGTAACATAAAAGCTCTAGCATAGCAATATGTAATTTCAAGAGCTATACACAACAACCATACAACAATAGATTTCAATTTAAGAAAAATAATAAAATAATCATAAAATGATTGAGTGTAATTCAAGAGATATTATGCATTAAATATGAATAGAAATGATCAATTCAAAAAATATATAAATAGTGTAAATCAAATTAACAAAAAAAATAAAATGATAAACAATTTTTTTTTAATGAACAAATAAATCGATGCATATACTTTTCATTCTTTTGCCACCTTCTTGTATAATCTATTAACTGAGCTTCAATTTTTTCTGTCTTCTTGACCTCGTTGTTTACACATGCAGTTATAATGAATTGGTTTTCTTCCTCACCCACCATTGTTCTATCTCCTTTTCATCTCACCTCTAACTTAACAAACTAAATATTTGAGTGACTAGCAAAAACTTTCTTGTTCTCCTTCATCATCTTCTTCTCTTTTAGTACAAAAACTTTGAATAAGATTACTCATGATATCAATTTTAGTTTTGCTTCAACTTTATTTGATTATTATCTAATTTAAACTAATCACTTCTTAACTCATGTATAATAATAAAAAAGAACTACTTTAATCTTTCCAAGAAATGTGGTGGAGTATGCTTCTACTCCCTCTCCTTTGTCCTAAAAAAATGATGGTCCACTTAAATTTTTTTATGACTTCTAAGCTTGAATAAGCCAAGATATAAATTATTGATAGAAGTCCTCTTTATCCGCTTGATATATCAACCCAAAATGAATAATCTCTCCCAATCGATAAGTTACCATATTTTGCAAAATAAATTTTTAAATATTCCGAGTAATTGCAAAACTAACCTTCTAGTATATTAACTTATCAAATATATTTTGTTTCACATCAAATATTTATAAAACAAAACAAATAAATGAATCAAAATAATTTCAAAGTGGCACCAAACCCTAAAAATTTTAAAGTACTCTTGGCTTTATACATGTGTTTTTAAAGCTCACAAAGTAAATTAGTGAAGATGATATTATGACTGAACGTCCCCATATCCGGACATCCAATTATCATGCACATGAAATGGAGATGATGCAATGCTCCGGTAATTCGCTGTATAGTCACTCAAATTCCAGACATAATATTTTCTCATTGTGGATAAAATACTAAGCCCACATGCTAAATCACAGAGTATCATGTTATCATACACATAAATTGAAGATGATGTGATCCCTCATGATTTATTGTGCAAATGTCTGAAGGTAATATTTTTCCCAATTGCTGATGGTTGTGATACTTTGATTTTGACATCTAATTTGGTTTTACCATCTTGGAGTGTCAATTTATTTGGCTCACTTATTTGACCCATAAATACTCCTCACGTACGACTTTTGTTAGGATTTTACTTTTGCATAAATATTTTAAATGAAAATACTTTTACACAAAACTCCACTTTATTCTATGAAATTATAACACATTTAGTTAATTCACAAAATACCCAAAAAAAAACTTAATTTAAAATTAAAAAAATTGAATACAACTCAAACCCCCATCAAACAATATAATTGTTATTTATTTAAATATACATAAAAATATTTCAAATATTTCATTTACATGTATTCAAACAAAATTCCTCCAATAATCCATCCAAAAAAAAGAAGAAAACCATAATATGAACACAAATACAAGCAAATTAATAAAAAAAAAAAAATCAACTAATGCATCCAATCCACCATCCCCTGAGTCAACGTAAACCCCAACAGCTTCGGCAGCCGACCTCCCTCCTCCACCTCCACCTCCACCTCCATCGGCGGCACCAAATTCAGATCAATCCCCACCATCTTCTCCCCCGCCGGCTCACCACACCGCCGCCCATTTTCCTCCGCCGCTCCCCTGTGCCGCCTCATATGCCCTCCCAGCGCCTGCCCAATAGTAAACTCAAGACCGCAAACCGAGCACTCGTGTACCCGCGGTTTAGCCGCCGCGCTGTTAACCTGCTCCACCCCCTCCACCCCTCCCAACCTCGGCTTCTTATGGCTGGCCCTATGCCCCCCCAATGCCTGAAACGATGTAAACTTCCGGTTGCACGTCTTGCACTCGAACACCCTCTCCACCGCCGATTCGCCGCAGCCACCCCCGGTGGCGGCCGCTGTAACCTTACCGGCCGACCCTCCTGATAGAAGCAGAAGCACGTTCGCTAAGCTGAAGCTGTCTATACGCTCATTCTGTTCTTCCCCATAAACTCTGTATCTCTTCATCTCTGCAATCGATCGATTTAGTCAAAAGAAGCAAGCTTTGAATCAGTTGTGGGAATTACCTGCGCTTTGAATCTATTTATAATGGTTAAAGTTTGAAGCTTGTGGCTTTCTAGAACTGTTATGTTATTATAACTTGAAATTAGTTTATGGTCGTTAAGTGGGTTAGCGGTTAATCAGAGGGTTAATTAGGGTGGTCAATGGATTAACGGGTTAATTAATTAAGGAATCATTTGGTTTCATACTAATTGCATGACTGCTTATAGTTTTCAGTTCTTTGGGTGGGAAATGTACTGCATTGAACGTAATTAGTGCTGATTATGACTGATAAGTACAGTTAAGCCGGTTGAGCGGTGGAGAAGAGGAGATTTAATTTTGAATTTAACATATAATTAGTAGGGATTGGTTTCAATGCTTGTATTTGGTGACGATTTTCTTCTGGAAAATTTGATTTTAGTTTTGATTTTTTATTTTTTATTTTACTGAAATCATCTAAGAAAAAAATGTGTTGTTATTAGGTGGAAAAATGAGATGCATGTGCCATGTGCCGTCCAACCTCCACCGTTGATCACGTCAAAATTGTATTTTGGTGAGTTCATTTAAAAAAAAATGATGAAAGCTCTAATCAACGGTGGAGATCGGACGGCGCATGCATCTCTACATATCGTATGGAATAATTTTTCTCTCAGGTGAGTGAAATATATGGTGCAGTTGATTTACATAGATACCGCCTAATTCATCTGTAATTGCATAACTCATACTTACAATTTTAATATTTACATATATGCCACCTTATATATATAAAAAAAATGAGTGGTGTATATGCAAATCTTTCTTAAATTTTACATAAAAATATTATTATTTTTACTTTCGTCTAAATTTTTTTTTTCATAAATTTTTAATTCATTAATTTAGATGTTAGATATGAAAATACTTGGTATGTACGTAAATGCACCTTTTTTTAATATACCATACATTTCTTATGCATGTACATATTTAACACCCTAATTAACTTTCATATTTAAATGCATAATTAATATTCATACCTTTAATATAATATTTAAATATCACTTATTTTCTTAAAACTGAAATGCATCATTTCATGTATATATTTAAGACACCAAATTATTACAAATATAAATATCAAATTTTTGGCTTAATATGGTCTACATGTAATTAACTTCACAAACGAAATTGTTTTAATCTCCCATTAAATAGGTATTTCTAATTCATAAACTAATACTTGTAAATTTAAATAAGTGTAAGAGTAAAACGAAGCTAAATAGATGAAATTTATGAGTAGACAACCAACGGCTGTGATGTGAAGCATGCTTTGAATTGATGGCAAGTCCAAAAGGCTGCCGACGAATTGACAATGAATGGTAGTTGGCTAAGTGATGAGGTCACTAAACCACATTTCCTTATTAATTAATTTTTTTGACTATGAATTAAACAAATACTTATCTTTCTAATTAATTATAAGTTTTAATTAATTCAACAATATGTGCGTTTTTATGCACGCTTAATTAATCTTATCAGGACGCCTGCTCTTCATGAGGAAGCTGGCGGCTATTACATAGGTCGGCAATGACGTATTTCCTCTCTCTCTCTCTCTCTCTCTCTCTCTCTCTCTCTATGTGCAAGTCAGGAGCTGACCACACAACCCCCCACCAACTGGCTAAATTGTTGCCTATATTTGCGCTTAAATTAAATGATTTTAGGGCTACAAATGCATTTGACTTAAGATTTAATATATTATTTATAAATATACCAATAAATATTGTGGTGTTGAATTATAAAGGATAACATATAATATTATAAATACAGCCCTCATTGGGTTTATATTTGTAATTATTTATTTTTTAACCATTTTTTTGTGAGACCAGTCATTGTGTGCAAAAATAGAATTTGAAATTAATTAGTTAAAAGCACTGCGGCTGAAACTCAAATATCAATTAAAATTAAAATAGTGGTGTTTTTGTATGTTATATGAAATATTTTGGTGGTATAAATGTAAAAAATTAAAATTACAAGTGTTAGGCAAGTAAATATATAAGAATTGGGTGGTTATCTATGCAAATGTCCCTTTATTTTATGTCTGATGTGTTGTTAATTCCTTATGAAATAGAAGGCAACTCAATCAAAATGTAAATAGTAAATTCAATAATTCATATTTTTTTTTTAAAAAAACCTTGATTTACATTGGATTGGCTAAAAATGATATGACACAAAATCATTTTGAGCAAGAGGAGGAACTAATATTATTTTTTAGGATGGATAAAATCATATGTTTTATTAAGAAATTATTAAATTGTCCAAACTAGATAAAAAAATAAATATTATAAACACCTAAAAATATCAGCACGAATCTCAAAGTCATTAAACAGCTCAGATGGAGGTTAGGCAGAGAAAGCGTCCTTCCATCCTACTACCATATGTGAAGGAAAAATTCGACATGTCTCCCGCGGCAATAGGGTTTAATGGCGGACCACCTTTGCAGTCCCGACCGACCAAGACGTGCGTAGGAGCGTCCAACTGCAGCAGACCGAACGATCCATGATGAATGAGATCGCAAACGTACATCAGAGGGCACAATTGCCACTTGTCCGGTCATCTCAGTCAACTGGCGTTAAATCAGTCGCCCAGCCGATCACCGCCATAATTAAAATTCAAATCGTAATGCAAATATGATATGAAATCTATACAAATAATTAGCGTTTTAATCACATTATGAATGATTTTCATAATCGTTATCTTCTTTCCATAGTTGTACAAAATGCATCCCTATAAATAGGGAGCAAAAAATACGAACAATGGGATCTCTCCCTCGGCACTTGCACCATTAAATTTTAGACTTACTGTACTCTCTCTTCTTCATCCGGCTCAAACTCTCGGGACGTGATACACAAATGACAAATTATGATCCAACAAATATTAAATTTTATTATTTATATAGAAAAACATGTACATACTAGAATATAATCGTCTCCCTTGGACATAACCTTCCACCACTCCTATTTTGAGCCCAATTTTAAGTTTGCTTCGCATGAAATCCATAGCGCCATGATAAATAATTATTGTTAATGTGTAATAACAACTTAACTTTGGATTAAGATGTAATTAAGAAAGCAAATTGCCCATTAATTTAATTGCTAGTAAGGCACTAGCTAGCTTAATTCTTCAAAGGATTTATCTAACGTTATCCTCTCCATACACCACCTAACCCAATAATGACGTAAAAAATGAGAATATTTTCAGGATAATTTTAAAAATTATTAAAATTTGAAATTTATAATGTTACATATGAATAAAATATAGCTAATTATTTCTTTTTTTTTGGAAAGGATTATATTAAAGAACAAATTAATTTTAGATTTTAAAATAGATTTATTTAAAGTAATTAATAATAATAAGACTCATTTTAGTCAAATTCTAATAAGTATTAATAAAAAATATTTATGTTTTCTAGACATTAGAAATTTATTCCTTCTAGAAATAATTTCTAGAAAGTAAGCATCTGTGGCCGTTCAAAAGCGGTATCTTGTCAGGTAGCCAACTGCAAGATGCATTGCCTTCTACGCTAGTCTAACGGCTAGTAGCAAATCAGATCCTTCTAATAGTCAATACTAAGGACTATTGACTATTTTCAAGACTTTTTTTTTTCCTTCAAATTTTTATTTGAAAAATTTATTTCTAATGATAATTGAATTATAAATTAATATTTAAATTGTGTTTCTAATATTAGTTACATAACTAACTCCTTTGTTGGCCTTGCATAAGAGAAAATATTACGTGCGATTAATCGTAAGTCTATACCACAATATAAATGGGATCACACCGTCGTATATAGCACAACAGACTGTTGGGACCGTTGTCCAGACGTGTGGCCGTGGCACGTAATATTTTCTCCTTGCATAGAGACTTGAAAAGCTAATCCTCAAACACTTCAAATTTTGTACAAATATATATTTCTTCTTGTCTCAAAGCTAATAGGCACATGATAGAGATAGAAAATAGTATGTGGGATTAATTAAATTTTAAAATAAAGTATACTTTTGATACTTATATTTAAAATTTTATAGGCATTGATTTATTTATTTATTTTAACACTTGATCATTTTCTCCTTAGATTAGATATCTCACTTTCTACTTTAATAAATATCATGCCCCTCGGTGTTATTTGGTCGGATGAAAAATGAAAACATTGTAGGAGAAATGCAATATATTCTTATTACAGTGTATTCTAGATCATGAGAAATTGTTTACTTGTCGGTGAAGTTACTACGGGTTTTTTTATTTTTTAATTTTTATTTTATTTTTTATGTTTAATTCGATGCATGCAAAGTAAAATATAAGAATCGTATTACAAATATTTATAATCTATTTTTCTTAACTTTTATTGTATATTACATAATTTTTATAATATTTCAAAATAAAGTTGCATTAAAATATATACATGATGTATATATATTTTAAACTATAGTGTCATGTAAATAACTAGAGAAATTGAAAATTGTTTCAATAATAAGGGGTGCAAACCAGCCGAATTGAGCTTGAATATAGAGTTTCTAAAAGGTTTCTTTAGAAACTACTCGTTGAGCCAAAAAATAATAAACAATTGCATATCTTGTAAGTTCATTCATGCTCAATTTCCCCCCAATCCCATTATCATTAACCTCTAGAGGAACCTTTTAATAATTACAAAGTTATTTGAATATAATAAGAATGAAGAATTGACTCGATCGGTAAGAGGTTCGCTGGTACTTGATATGAAGCTGAGTAATCTGTCGATCGAGCTGAGAGCCGAACATCGTCTTGTGGGGAAGCACGTTCTTCGGATCGCTCAATCCAGACATCTTCTTCTCTAGCCCTAATCCGCCATATGTCAACAAGCACGTCTGATTGGTCATCCCTTCCTCCTGAGTCATTTGTTTTCCTTGAGATCTATGTTGACATATTTTTCATATGCATATTTAGTTTTCATATTCTCTTGCTTTTTGAAAAGTGCAAAGCACTCAAGGACAAGAAAATCTTTTTAAGATATAAGAAATAATTGAATCACATTATTGCGCAAATTTCTTGGATTTTCATGGTTAGGCCACAATAAATGAACAATGAGACAACAAAAATTTGCGTTTTCTCTTTTCCTTCTTGCTCTTTAGAATTTTCCGTCTTCTCTATTCTATGTGTGCTACTATGACAGGCGAAGAGGTATCATCTGCCGATAAGGACGCCCTTCTTAATGCTATGGGTGGAAAATTTATGTATGAACGATTGTGTCACTAAGGGTTTGTCTTTGATGAAGCCGCGAATGATCGTTTAGTTAGGCGTTTTCTTTCGAGTTGTATCTGAGGGTTTTGTGTGATGCACCCCTCTTTGTAATTAAACAAAAAAAGAATGAATGAAATGCAGTTTTCTATCTTTGGTAATGATTGTTCTACCTCAAGTATTGTGCGGGTCATGTCAAACTAGTCTAGATATGCGTAGAGAGGTATCATGAACTTCTTCTTCCAAGTTGTCATTTCTCCTCGTCCCCTTCTTCCTCTGTTCTCGTGTGTGCTGTTGCGGATCATATGACACAAATTCTCTCAGGAATCATTTGGATCGATTTTTTATATGTGGCTTTAAGTGGTGCTCTTTTGTGGCACAATTTTTTAGTGGTGTGATGAGTCCCACTACGAACATGAGATCGAATTAGAAGGCATCAAATTAAATGTGAATATGAATTGGGTTGCTTTGCCAAGAAACTTAGTTTTGCCATTAAGAAAATTTTTGTGTTACTCTAATGAGTCGTGAATTTTCATGGACCGATGTCGGATTGATGAGTTGTCGAGGTCACATTTTGATGTCACGTTGAGCTTACGCCTAGGTGAACCCGATCCAAATTTATCTGTAAATTGATTTCACATGTAGGTATGCTACAAGATTTATATAAATTAGCGTCAACCAAATCTGACGCTACTTTGGGCATAATCATAAGCAAAATAGTGTTGGTGTGGATTTGTGTTGGACATATGAACGACTCAAAAATAGGAGTCGGTAATACAATAAATGTCAAACGTGTTTGATGCAAACAACTTGCATTAACTTTAGAGTCTGATAATATCGACATTAACCAGTTTCAACGTGCCATGCCTCGATGCTAAAGTAAATTATGGAATTTGCATCCAATTTTGTGAGGAGCAAATTTGTCTTTTTATTTGCATCAAATGAATCTGTTGTGTGTGTGTCTGTCTGTGTGTCTTGTATATATATATAATGTAAGATATGATTTTCGCTCCTACGCAAAACAAATACTAATATCATAAATATTTACTTATCAATCATCACAACTTTGAAATCTATATCACAAAATAAGTACAGACAATGAATATATATATAATTTTTTAAAAAATAATGTAAATGGGTGAAAGTTCAACCCAAACATAAAATATTCATCCACATACTCAAAAAAAAAAAAAAAACATAAACACCCAAGACGTTGTGTCATTACTAAGATCATAATCATCCTTCCTCTTCTCTCCCTCATCCTCCTCATTCACAAGAGTCATACAAAGTTGAATGTCTCCAATATAATTCATGTCTTGTTGAGCCGCTCGGGCTTAGATCGTAGGGTGGCTTTTGCGACTTTAATTAGTCAACTATCTTTTAACTTTTGCTTAAGAAGCTGCATCATGTTATGTTGGTACTGTGGGATCCCTTGGTCTTTCGTCAATGGGGTCTTTTGTCATCGCATTCTTAGTTCAAACTCTTTGATCTCCTTAAGTTTCAGGCTGAACCTCTTTTTTCTCTATACAATATTAATTAAGAATGTATTTTAAATTGATTGCTATTAAATAATTTAAAATTAAAAAAAAATATTAAATAATTACATATAAATTTATCTAATAATAATTAATTTGATAATATATTAATAGTATTAATCAATTAAATGAAAATTAAAACAACAAACCCATCACCTCTCTGCCTGAAAGAAAAATATTACATCAGGACCGAAACCCTAGCCTGCATCGCTACGCTTCTCCCGGTTTCGCCCAAAACCATCTCTTTCGTGCCCGAACCCTCGCGATACACTCGCAAGTAGGGTTAACTGGGAAGAAAACTGCGGGATCGCGGCGTGCAGTGACCCCATAACTCCCATCTTTCTTCTCCTTCCGTACTCATACCCGAAGCCATGGAGGCAGATGAAGGAAGTTAACTCATATTTTCCTTTTCGCGCGTATCGCCTTTCTCGGATTTATCGCCGATTCACAGGATTTGGTAAATCCAGGATTTACCGCCGAAATCAGTAAGCGAGAGTTCCAAAATCCAAACCCTTGCCCGATCCTAACTTAGAAATAACCCGATAGCAACTTAGAAATAAGGAAGAAAGAGAGTTCTAACCTTCATGGCTGGAGGTAAGATTAGAAAGGCAAGGCATCAGCAGCAACACTTGCAGGGAGGCATCCCTTTCGAGAAATCGAAGGGGCAACATATCTTGAAGAACCCGATGATCGTTGAGACTATCGTTCAGAAAGCTGGTATTAAACCCACCGACGTCGTCCTCGAGATCGGCCCTGGTACTGGAAACCTCACAAAGAAGCTCCTTGAGGTCTCCAAGTCTGTGGTTGCCATCGAGCTCGACCCACGCATGGTCCTTGAACTCAATCGACGTTTTCAAGGCACTCCATACTCAAATCGTCTTAAGGTTTTCTCACCAACTATATCTCCTCCAGATTCTGCTCTATCTTCCGTTTCATCTTGTTGCCTCTTATATCATATGTGTAAGAATTATATTTAAATGTTAGTTTTCGAACATTATGTGCTTAAGAGGAGCTCTATTAAAGCTGTAAAGAACTGCAATTTATTTTACAAAATCCATTTTTTGTGTGCAATGCAAAACTTTTGGACCAACTCAGTTTAAAATAGCTTTCTTTTGTTCCATGATAATAGCAGTTCTCTACTTCATAATTGAAATTTATTTATTCCGATTACAATCAGTTATTTGGTGCAATCTTCATCAAAGTTTGATTTTCTGATGTGGCCCTTTGATTGATTCATTGGAGTTTTGGACTATATTAGATGAAGAAAAAAAATGAAATCTTTCTATCTACCATAAATCACAATTTATATGATTCGTGGGTACTATAATGTGATCCAAGTTTAAATACGCAGGTTAAAGAATGCCATTAGGTTTTATTTGGTATTTTAGTCCTAAAGAGTAATTATTTATTGAGCATTTTGGAATTTTTCTCAGACATCATAGAAGTAAATTAGGCTCTGTTATTCGATTACTGATTTATGTATTCAGCAATATAAACTTTGCAGTCATACCTCATAATACTATGATAGATTGCACACTCATTAAAATGACGCTTTTATGTTATTCCATTTGCTCTGGGTTTTGAAATTTCTTAGACTTGGTTGTCACTTGAAATGTTAGGGTTCATGAAAACCTACCTTTTTTATGATTTCATAATTAATGTTTGGCATGCTTGCAATGTCTAATTTTCTAGGTTTTTCAAGGAGATGTCCTCAAGTCTGAACTTCCTTACTTTGACATATGTGTGGCTAACATCCCATACCAAATCTCATCCCCTCTCACCTTCAAGTTATTGTCACACCGACCTGTTTTCAGATGTGCTGTTATCATGTTTCAACGAGAATTTGCCATGAGGCTGGTTGCAAATCCTGGCGACAATCTCTACTGTCGGCTTTCAGTGAACACGCAGCTACTTGCTCGTGTCTCTCATCTTCTTAAAGTCGGGCGAAACAATTTCAAGCCCCCACCAAAGGTTGACTCCTCTGTGGTTCGCATTGAGCCCAGACAACCCCTTCCACCTGTTAGCTTCAAGGAGTGGGATGGGCTGATACGTCTTTGCTTCAACCGGAAGAACAAGACTCTTGGATCAATCTTCAAACAGAAAAGTGTTCTTTCGCTGTTGGAGAAGAACTATAAAACTATGCAGGCTTTGCAAGTGGCTCAAAATGGCCAGATGGAGGAGGAGAAGGCCACGGTAGATGATCTGGCAGTTTTGGCTAACATGATTGAGGACATGAGTATGGATTCCTATAGTGTGAAGGATGAGGAGGAAATGGATATAGAAGAGGATGATATGATGTGTGGAGGCAATTATACATCTGATTTTAAGGAAATGGTTATGGGAATTTTGAAACAAGGGGATTTTGCTGAAAAGAGAGCTTCAAAGCTTACACAAGTAGATTTTTTGTATCTTCTCTCACTCTTTAAAAAGGCTGGCATCCATTTTACCTGATTGGGACCATTTTACTTCTAGAGGTATTTTTCCTGCCACATTCAACTGAATTTTTGTATTTGTTTTGATTGAGATTTCGGTCATTTTTCAAATCTTATGAAGTTTTGTAATGTTAAGGTGTAATTTATTTTGACGTCAGAGTCATTATTTTTCATAATTTTGAAGAATATTCGCTGTTTAATTGTAACTGTTCCAAATAAAACATTAGTGTTTTTTTGTGCTATTGGCAATGTTGCTAGATAGTGAAGTAGACTAGGAAAATCTACATACTTTTGTTTTTTCTTTTCCCTTGAGGATGATGTGTGTTGTGTTGCTTTTGTAATCTTAGGCGTGTTCATATAATGTTTTTATGACCTGCTACTGTTGTTTCTTATAAATTAATTACATAGATATTCTTTAAATTAAAATGATTTTTTTGCAGGTTGAACATCTATCTATGAGGTTTTCTTCATAATTCTTTTTTTAGAATTTTTAGCATTTTATATCAAAATTTTTTCAAGATTTAAATAAAATAACAAATATAATGAACAATTAGAAAATAAATAATAAGAAATCACTTGGTATAAAATATAAATATCATTTTTTAAAATATTTTTAACAACCTAAAAAATGAAGTCTTAAGTTTTAATATATCTTGATTATATTTTATATTAATATTTTGTCAATCAAGCCAACTCATAAGCTAACAATTTGAGTAGGGTTGGCTTGAACTTGGCTTGTTTGCTTATGACGGTTAGCTCACAATCCACTTATCGAGTCGGACTCGAGCCATTAGTTGAGTATTTCTTCTCTTTTAGTCTTTGTTATCGACCTATGGAATCTTTTAAATTTTATAGATTGTATCCTCAATTCTGCTATGTACAATATGTTTTTGGATTTATGGTGAACTCATGATAAACTCCTTAAATTAATTGATTTGTATTCTTGTGTTTATTTTGGTAGATTAAGTGGCTATTAATTGACTTAAAATTTAGGGTCTTTTACGTATGTAACATGCAATTCTAATGTATTTGCATCTCTCACACCTATATTTTCATATTTAAATGCATAACACTCAAATCTTTAATATCAAATTTAAAATAACAATATTTCCAGTTTTAAAAGTGAAATATAATGTTTGATGCATAGATTTAAAGCACCAACGTACCATGTACGTAAATATGAAAGTTTTGATGTAATATATTTAATTACACAAGAATTGTGTGTTTCATATGTAAATTTTCCAAAATTTATAGCATTTAATAGTTTTATGCATGATTTAAATAAATTACAATTGTTATAATGAGATCGAATTATATTTATAATACAGTTTCAATTGTTAAGAATAAAATATTAACGCTAATTTATTGAGTTATTTCATACAGGCAAATAGTTGGTCGTTTAATGTTATTAGGTCTTTTTAGAAAGAATTTAATTCTTGAATGGCAACTTCGAAACACATCAAGATTAGTAATAAATTTAATTATGCAATTTTAGGACTATTTTGAAGAATTTTAAATACATTTATTTTTTTATGAAATTTTTGTGTGGAGTACGCTTAAGTTGTTAAATAAAATTGAATCTTAATTTAAATATGTTAAGTTTTTATGGCATCAATAGATTCAATACTTAGTTTATATTGTTTGGTCATCATTTAGACTTCTTTGTCAAACACAAACAACTTGTGCCACGACCAACTTGTGATTTATGCTAAGGCTTACTTAAGTCAAATCATATAATTTGGAATTTTTTTTAGTGATTAATCTCTTTTGTTGATATTTTATGATTCATTTTATTTACTTTTAAGTTAAGACACACTCTATCTTAATAACTAGTATCAAGGCAAAGTTTTGACAAATATAATGGCTATTATCTACATCAAATTAATTGTTCACAAATATCAATTTGAGATTGAGAAATTCGATAGCTTAATAAATTTTGGCCCTCGGTGAATTAATGTTTATGGTGATCTTAGTCTTATATAAGAACAATATAATGGCTATGAAATGATATAACTAATGTAGTTACATATTACAAAATGATATTCTTTTTCATAATTTGAGAATGTATCAGTAAAATATAAAAAAATAAAAATAATGATAGATATAGTGGAAATAACTGCATACCTTTAGGGGTTCATTCAACCTTTCGTTTAAATAAAAATCATGATAGATATAGTGGAAATCTGTGCATACCTTTAAAGGTTCAATCAACCTCTCTTTTGAGATTAGACAAATTTATTGACACCAAATTAAATTAAATAATTCCATAAGATTAAAAATTGATAATTTATCTAATTTGCACAAATTTTCTTCATTTATCATAATCACATGATGGTAAGCCCCTATATCAATCACTCTCTTTATAAAATGTTAAGTCAGACGATTTAAAAGTTGAGTTTCAGATATTAATAGTTTATTAATATTATATGTCAATTATTAGCAAGTATCTGATGCTAATTGATTTTGAGTAGTAGATGCTAGAGAACTAGCAGTGGAAAAATTGATGATTAAGAAGACGAATGTCGGGCATCGATGGCAGATAGATCTCAGGCATGGGCAAGTTTTGGATAGCTATCTATTGGGCGGTCAAACTTCGATTAGGATAAGTGGTATGCTTGATCATTCTCCTTATAAAATGGGATATTGATGACTAGGAGTATGAGTATCAGGCTTCAGAGGCAAGTCGAAGTAAAAAATCTTCTAGGGTTTATTTTGGTAGGAGTCAAAATATTTAAAGTTGCATGACTGACAGTGATTTGCTCAATCATTTTTTTTATAGCAAGGGATTTTAATATCCAATGACAAACATCATATATGCATGACGAACTAGCTTCAAATAGAAGTTGTGGGACTATTGCTTGGAGACATCCATAAAAAATTAATGGTGGACAACATCAGATGTTAGCTATCAACTGATAGTGATGCCTACATCTTGATTGTCAGAGCTTTGGAACTATCTAAGGTCTGAAAATTTTTACCACCAATGTTCTAGTAGGGTAATTTTAGTCATTTTGGCAAAAAAATCATGACTATTTAGCTGACAACCATAGTTTATCACATTCTTGAGATGAGGGACTCCCTTTAATTTGAAAGCAGAATACATAATTATCTCGAGGCGTTATTAATAAAAAAGTAGCACTAAATTAAAATGTGAACGATAGTTTTTAGACTCGAAACATGGATTTTTTGATTGGTTATTTTTTGTATGTATACATACATAAGGCCCATTATTTAGGTATAAATCAGTGGATCTTAATAGAAAGATTATTAAATATAAATTAACCACTCCTTTTAATCCTTCTAAGTACACTTGGGTCCAATATTGAAACTAGGTAGGTATTCCATTATATATATTAAAAAGATAGACCACAAGATATACTTGCAATCCACCCCAATTAAAGATATATGCTTTATTCAAGGGCCACAGGGGACTTACTCTGTCAAACAATGAGCCAGTCGAGGCGCGCGCCCACACACACACACACACAGATATATATATATCCTTATAATATATATATATCTTTAGAGAACTCCGTATGAAATTTTATTGATATCAGGTAAAACTTGCATTAAGTTTGGAGATAGATCCATCTATAAGCAGCCATACAACTCACCCAAAAAGGAAAAATCGAAGGTTCGATCTCCAATGCATACAACTCTCAAAAATAAGAGAGAGACTATACCCATTATCAAAAAAATCAAGAAAGAAAAAACAAATAGTTAATTTAAGATCTAATATAAGGATGACCCATGTTATCTCCATGAATCAATCTCCGGAGTGTTGCAGGAGGATTATGCCTCACATTGTCCTCTGAGCTTCTAGCACCCATCTTGGCAAGCCAATGCACAGGACCGTTACATTCCTTTAAAATGAAACTCCAAACGATATTCAGTTTTTTAGCCAATAGAGCAATTCTTTTAATATAAATAGTAATGTTCTAAGGTGTCTGCTTCCTCCTAGTGATAAAATTTTCAAGTTGTAGAGAATCAGTTTACACCTGCAAAAACTTGTATTTAGCAATACAAACATTCTTAGTTGCCATCTAAACCGCCTATGTTTCAGCAGCCAAGGCGTTTACAGTACCACAAGGGGAAGCAAAAAAAAAAACACAAACATTTCCCACGAGAGTCATGAAAAATTCTCCCAACACCAGTTAAATCGCCTCCCCAACTTCCATCAGAGTTTACCTTCACACAGTTGTGCACGGCCTACGCCACATCACAAGTTCAGGTTGCCTTGCAACCTCTCTCCTTCCCTGTACTTTCATAACAAAATTAAAATAATTTAAGCCGCAGTAATAAGAAGGTTCAGCAGAAAGTATCTTGACAATTTTATATAAGGAAGCAAGCACATTAGCCATAACATGATTCACACCAATAATCTTTTCCAAATGTTTGCAAGCGTTTCGCGCCGTCCATAAGAACCAAATAGTGATATAAGGGATGATTTCAAGTATATGTTTTTTCAGTTTGCAAGGATTCCGGGTCTCACAACATTCCTCAAGATCCCGCCAAAACTCTGGAATGGAGGTCTGGAAGGTCACTCTTAGGCACCTCCAAACTTTCATCGAGGATGAACATTTAAAATAGATATACATGACACTCTCCTCCTCCTCTTTACAAAGAAGACATTGAGAAGGAAGTCTCAACCCTTTCATTTTCAAAATGTCATCATAAGGTATCAGTTGGAGGTAATTCCTCCAAAGGAAGGACATTGAGGCGAAAAGAGCCTTGCACCAAATCAAATTACCTCAAGCTTACTCGAGGATGTGGATGTAAGTTTGAGTAGATAGCTTGAGTACAAGATTGCTCCTTAGGTAATTTAAGAAGAAGTTTATCACGTTCGGAATTATCTTTTGGGATTTTGGAGATATAGGAAGCATTGCACTGACCCACATTATCTCTGAGCAAGGGAAAATTCCATTTCCCATTATCCCAAAAATCAACCTCAAGAAAATTTGAAGTTTCTTCCTGTACTTCTCAAGCAAAATTTTCCAAAGCCCAATTGTCTTTCCAGAAGGAAATCCTACCATCTCCGATATCCAAATAGATGAATTTCTTAGCTAAGCATCCGACATTAAAGATGGATTTACACATTTTAGAATCCCCAACCTTCACTGAGACAGTGAAAGGGTGAACCCCCCTACAATATTTGTCATGCATGAAAACAACCCAC